TGAGTCTCCTTGTAGCCCCAGCTGTCCTGGAACTCACTATGTAGACCAGGCTGGGCTCAAACTCACAAAGATCCACCTGCCTCTGCCTCCCAAGTGCTGGGATTAAAGGCGTACACCACCACGCCCAGCTAAAAATAATAGATTTTTAAAAACTTTAATGTTTATTATAAGTCTGTATGTATGTGTATACACATGTGCATACAATAATGCATGGGTGGAGGACAGAGAAAAACTTTCAAATGACTTGTGGAAGTCAGCAATCTCCTTACACCATGTGAGTCCCAGGGATCGAACTCTGGTTGTCAGACCTTACCCATTGAACCCTCTAATTGGCTCCAGTCTGCTTCTTAAGTATTGGTAATCCCAGGGTTCTGGCTTTAATTTTGTCCTTTATTTGTCCCTCCTTGGTCATGCTCACCACCTCCTATGGCATTAATTATACTTACATGCTAATAATACTTAAAAAGTCTAGGTCTGTCCATGTTTCTCTCCTGTGCCCTGAACTGTTTATCTAACTGTATACTCCTTCCCTTTACCGGCTGTCCCACCTCAGAATCAACATGACTAAGGGCAAATTTGTCATCTCTCTACTCTGGAAGATACCATATCACATGCTGCAGATTAGATTTCCAGAGTTTATTTATTCGCCTTACATAACAGGATCTTTATATTCCTTTATTTATCTTTATTTTATGTGTTAGTGTTTTGCCTGCATGTCTGTAAGTGCACCACATACATCCATGCAATGCCCATGGAGGCCAGAAAAAGGAGTGGTATCCCTTGAAACTAAAGTTATGGCCCATTGGGTACCACTGGGGTCCTCTGCAAGAGTAACCAGTGCGCTTAACCACTGAGCCATCTCTCCAGCCCAGAAAATTTACATTCTTTTTGTTTGTTTGTTTGTTTTTATGTGTATGAGTGTTTTCCCTGCATGTCTGTGAGTACACCTGTGTCCTGCAATACCCGTGGAGGACAGAAGAAGGTATCAGATCCCCTGGAACTGGGTTGTTAGCCATCATGTGGGTGCTGGAATCGAACCTGGGTCCTCTGCAAGAGCAGCCAGTGCTCTTAACTGCTGAGCCATCTCTCCAGCCCCAATGTTACATTCTTTAAATGACTCTTCATTTCTCCCACCTCCACTGCCTTACCATTATCCTCTGCTTCTGTGTATTTGACAATTTTAGATTTTACAAATAAATGAACTCATACAGTATTTATTTTTCTGTGCCTGGCTTACTTCATTTAGCATAATGCCTTCTGGGTAGGATTTCCTTCTTTAAAGCTGAGCAATATTTTTGTGTGTGTGTGTGTGAATGAGAGAGAGAGAGAGAGAGAGAGAGAGAGAGAGAGAGAGAGAGAAAGAAAACTAGCTTAATTCATCTGTCAGTAGATATTTGTTTCCTTTTCTTGGCTATTGTAAATAGTGCTGTAATGAACACAGGAGTTCAGATGTCTGTTCAACATAGTGATTGCAGTACCTTGGATAGATAACCAGTAGTGGCACTGCTGAATTTTAGATTATATGATAGTTATATTTTTAATTTTTATTTTTTTTTTCTTTTTGAGACAGGGTCTCCTTGTAGCCCCAGCTGTCCTGGAACTCACTATGTAGAGCAGGCTAGCCTCGAACTCACAAAGATCTGCCTGCCTCTGCCTTCCAAGTGCTGGGATTAAAGGTGTACCACCACACCCAGCCTATATTTCAATTTTTTTTTTTTTGGTCTATTTGAGACAGGGTCTCCCTATAGCCCCAGCTGGCCTGGAACTCACTATGTAGACCAGGCTGGCCTTGAACTCACAGAGATCCACCTTCCTCTGTCCCTCCTTGGTCATCTCCATCCTGATTTCTGTGTCTGTGTGTGTGTGTGTGTGTGTGTGTGTGTGAGAGAGAGAGAGAGAGAGAGAGAGAGAGAGAGAGAGAGAGAGAGAGAGAGCGCATAGGTGGGGAGGGCCAGAAATTGATGTCAGATGTCTTCCTCAGTGACTCCCCACCTTATTTTTTTTAATTTTAAAACTACATTTCTTTATTTTGTGCATGCATGTATGTATGGGGGAGGAGAGTGTGGATGTTCCATGGCATGCATGAAGAGGTCAGAGGACAACTTTTGAGAGTTGGTTCTCTCCTTCCACTGGGTCCTGGGGCTCAAACTTAGGTCTTCAGGCTTGGTGACAAATACCTTTACCTACTGAGCAACCTTGTCAGCCCTCATCTTTTTTTTTTTTTTGTCTTTTTGAGACAGGGTCTCCCTGTAGCCCCAGCTGTCCTAGAACTCACTATGTAGGCCAGGCTGGCCTTGAACTCACAAAGATCTGCCTGCCTCTGCCTCCCAAGTGCTGGGATTAAAGGTGTGCACCACCACACCCGGCTTCTCACCTTATTTTTTGAGACAAGAGTCTCTCACTGAACCTGGAGTTTACTAATTTGGCTAGACTGGGTGACCAGCAAGCCCTGGCGATCCTCCTGTCTGTCTCCCCAGCAGTAGGAATACAGTCAGGTGTCACTGTACCCAGCTTTTAAATGGATTCTGGGGGATCTGAAGTCAGGTGCTCATGCTCATGCAGCAAGCACTTTACTGACTAAGCCGTCGCCTCCATCCTCGTTTTTGATTTAGGAAAATGTCTTTACTAATTTATATTTCCATGTGCAGGGGTTCTCTGCAGTCTCACCTTTGCTGCTTGTCATTTTTGTAATAGTCACTCTTAGTAGTGTGAGATGCTGTCTCATTGTGCTGTTAATTTGCACTTCTCTGATGATCAGTGATGTTGAACGTATTTTTCATGGACCTCTTAGCTATTTAGATGTCTTCTTTTGAGAAATGTCTATTCAGGTTCTCTGCCCAACCCCTCACTATGGTGCTGGGAATTGAACCCAGGGCCTCGTCTATGCTAGGCAAGCGCTCTACTACTGAGTTACGTATGGCCCCAGTGACCCCCACCCCCTTTTTTTCATTTAGGCTGTTTCTATGCTGTTGAGTTATATAAGCTCCTTATTTATTTTGGATAGTAACCCCTTATCAGATACATGATTTGCAGATATTTCCTCCTATTCTGTGTGTTGTCTTCTCACAGTGTTCTTTCCTTTGCTACACAGAGCCTTTCTAGTTTGATGTCATCCTATGTGTGTGTTTTTGCTCTATTCCCCTGTTCTTTTGGTGTCATATACATGCATTACTCTCTCTCTCTCTCTCTCTCTCTCTCTCTCTCTCTCTCTCTCTACCACCACCACCACCACCACCATCAGCAACAAAACCCCCACTGGACCAGAATAATGTCATGAAGGTTTTTCCCGTGTTTTTTTTTTTTCTGAGTAGTTTTGTAGTTTCAGCCTTATATTTAAGTCTTTAATCCATTCTAAGTTAATTTTTATATATGACATAGATAAGGGTCCAGTTTTCTTTTCAGACAGGGTCTCCCTGTAGCCCCAGCTGTCCTAGAACTCGCTATATAGACCAGGCTGGCCTTGAACTCACAGAGATCTGCCTGCCACTGCCTCCCAAGTGCTGGCATTAAAGGCGTGCGCCACCACACCTGGCTACCAGTTTTATTCTTTTGCCTGCGGATATCTACTGCAGAGTGCTCTTTCTTCATTGTGTGTTCTTGGCACCTTTGTTGAAGTTCAGTGGAATATTACTGCATGGATTTATCTGTGGGCTCTCTATTCCAACATAGATTTTTTTTTTAAAAAAAGATTTATTTATTTTTATTTGTGTGTATGTTTGTGTGCCTGCCTGAGTACATATGTACCACATGTGTGCAAGTGCCCTCCAAGGCCAGAAGACATCTGATCCCAAGGAACTGGAATTACAGAAGGTTGTGGGCCACTATGTGGGTGCTGGGAACTGAACCCAGGTCCTCTGCCAGAGCAGCAAGCTTTCTTAATTGCTTAGATATCTCTCTAGCCTCTTGATTGATTTTTGTATATTAACCTGTTCTTATATTTTAAGAAGAATTCTAGTTTGTCCTATATAATTTTTTTCAATAGTCTGATAAATTCAGGTTGCCAGGGTTTTTTTACGGTGTTTACTTGCATATTCTAAACAGTATTGATCTTTAATGATTGTGATATCTTTGTGATATTTTGTATAGTAGCAAACTAAAAGTGGCCTCATAATGAGTTGGGAAGTTTCATTTTTTTAAAAAAATAGTAAACATTGGAATTATATTTGAACTTATAAAATTAAATTTTACTAGTAAAGATTCTAGTCTTGGCTCTTTCTTTTGCAGAGATCTTTTAAGTTAATTTATTCTTTAACAATATCATGCATGTATAATGCACTCTACTTACTCTCACCCCACTCCCTCTTTCCTTCCTCCCTAAACAAATCCCTTTCCCATATTCATGTCTTTTGGTTTTCTTTTGTTTTTATGACCCACTAAGTTTAACTAGGTGCAAAGATTTTTGGTTACTAATTCAATTCCTTGTTATAGCCTGTGTGGATTTGATACTACTTCCTGAGTGAGCTTTGGCAATTTGTGTCATTCTCTGTTTTGGTTTTGGTTTGGGCTTTTTGAGATAGGGTCCACTTTGTAGCCTAGGCTGGCCTTGAACTCAGTCCTCTTGTTGGGGTCACCATGTAACAATTTAGCCCTTGTAAAGAATGAAGCAACTCTTTATTTTTATTTTCTGTTTTATGTGTGTGTATATGTGTGGGCGCACATGTGCCATGGTATGCATGTGTAGGTCAGAGGACAGCTTGTAGGAATTGGTTCTCTGTTTCCAGCATCTGGGTTCAAACTCAGGCTTGGCGGTGAGCACCTTTACCCGCTGAGCCATGTTGCTGACCCAAAACAGCTCTTTGTTATATTAATATGGAAAGATCACATATGTATTATATATAATATATATAAAACCATGTAGATCCACGAAATGAAAACCGTTGGAACTTTTAGCATGAATTATGATGAACAATGAGTGATGAATGAAGGGAAGAAATGAAATGATAAGGTTGATCAGTTATGAGATTTGTTCCTAGCTTTTTATTTTTTTAACTTCTGTACAGGCCTGAAGGTATTGAACGTCAGTACAGAAAGAAGTGTGCAAAGTAAGTATCAACAGTTTGAGTCTCTGAAGCTTAGGTAAATAGAAGCAAAGAATGTTAGGAAAATAATTACTTGGATATAATTCTCTGTTAGGTCTCTATAATCTCAAAAACCTTCAAACCAAATGCTAATGTTTCCCAAAGAAGTTGATTAAAATTATATCCCGACCAACTGACTACATACATGAGGAAAATGAGATCTTTAAAAAAAAAAAAAAATCTCGCTAGGCGTGGTGGCGCACGCTTTTAATCCCAGCACTCAGGAGGCAGAGGCAGGCAGATCTCTGAGTTCAAGGCCAGCCTGGTCTACATAGTGAGTTCCAGGACAGCTGGGGCTACAGGGAGACCCTGTCTCAAAAAGACCAAAAAAAAAAATCTCTTTTAGCAGACATGGTGGCACATGCCTTTAGTCCCAGCACTCTGGAGGCAGAGGCAGAAGGGTCTCTGTGAGTTCCAGGCCAGCCTGAGGGAGTTCCAGGCCAGCTGGGGCTGCAAGGAGACGAAAAAAAAAAAAAAAAAAAAAAAAAAAAAAAAAAAAACTCTTTTGAGGCAAGGTCTTAATATAAATTCCAAATTGTCATTGAGGTTTTGATCTTCCTGCCCCAGCCTCCCACATACTGGGATTATAGGCATGAGCCATCATATCATGCAAAAAAAAAAAGTTTTTCACATAGTATAATTTTAAAAATTGAGATGTAATATGTTCATTCACTCAGTAAATTTGTGTTGCTTCCAGTTTTGGCTGTTACCAATAATGACACTGTATTCTAGTACAATTCTTAGTGTGAACATACATTTCTCTTGGAGTGAAATTGGCTGGGTCATACTGAAAATGTAAAAAACGTAATTTAGTTCCAGGCTTATTTATAAAATGTATTATAGACTGCAAAGCTAAAAATCTTAAAAAATATTGTTTTAAGCAAAATCTGTATATATTTTCAGCTTTAGGTTACTCATAGTGAGAATATCAGTAAGTTCAATGTTGATGTAACTACAGTTGCATCTTGGCTCTCAGAAGACAGACTAGAAACCTTGAAGCAGAGGAAAATGGGTAAGAAGACATTTTGGTTCCTAGCCATACTGCAGTGATGAAACTTGCTGTCTGTACTGAATTTGCTCCTGCTGTTCACCACCCTGCACCGAGACAGGGTCTCCCTGTTGCCCCAGCTGGTCTGGAACTTGCTATGTAGACTAGACTGGCCTCGAATTCACAGAAATTCGCCTGCTCTGCCTCCCAAGTGCTGGGAGTAAAGGTATGTGCTACCACGCCCTGTATGAAACCGCTTTTTTATTATATCTTGAAGGTCTACAGTTCAGCTCAGAAAACATAATGGTCATCCAAAGAAAGTGGTGATTAATATAAGATTTTGTTTGCCAAGTGCTGCAGTGGAACCTTTATACTTTCCCTGGATGTTGTAAAACAAAACAAAACAGAAAAAGTAGACAGAATGCCCAAACCAGTGCTAAGGCATCTTGGAAAATGGTAGCAGTTGTTGACTAACAAAGCCAACAATAGCATTAGCCAGCATTTCCCAAACTTGTCTAATGTTAATAATCATGTGGGATGCTGATGAAAATAGCAAATTCTAAGCCGGGCATGGTGGCACACGCCTTTAGTCCCAGCACTCGGAGGCAGAGGCAGGTGGATCTCTCTGAGTTTGAGGCCAGCCTGGTCTACATAGTTACTTTCAGGCCAGCTGGAGTTACTGGGAGACTGTCTCAAAAAGACCAAAAAGGAAAAAAAAAAAAACAAGAAAGAAAAAAAAGAAACAGAAAACGGCAGATTCCCAGGCCTTACCCCCTACATTTGTTGAATGAGTCTTCTCTGATTTTGATTTATTTTTTAATTTTATATGTATGAGTGTTTTGCCTGTCTTTCTGAATCAGAGAGACCTAAGAATCCATGAAAAAGTTCAACATGAACCCTGATTAATTCTTATCAAGAATGGCTAAACATTAGTTTACAAACGAAACTATTCCCAGAAACTAAGCTTCTTTTACCACTCACTGGGAATTTAGACTTAGAGGTCTCCCAAGAGATTCACTCTGTTATCTGCAGGTGTGGACTACCGCTCTTCTACCAGTCCCAGCCCAAGAATGCTCCTGTGACCTTCATCGTGGATGGAGCAGTAGTGAAGTTTGGTCAGGGATTTGGGAATACAAATATATATACTCAGAAACAGGAGCCTCCTAAGAAGGTAATTACCACTGAAGAATACAGGCTGCTTAATATAGTACAGATTTAGCCCCAATTTTTATTTAATAAAAAAAATTTTTTTGTGGTGCTGAGGATCAAACCCATATCGTATGCATATTAAGTAAGTAATACTGAGCTGTATCACAACCACTAAATTTTGAAGTAAGGGTATTATACCTGAGAAACTTCCATTTACGGATGAATTGTTTATTAAGAAAATGCCATTTTTGTGTATAAGCAGATGTTACAGAATTGTGATATTTGTTACTAGTTTTATGTACAGTAGTCTTATAAAGTTAGAAGTTTTCTGCTTTTTATTTTCCTTTTATTCTTTTTTTTTTCTTTTTAGGGTACGAGCAATTAAATCCTGAATTACATTTTTTTTAGATTTTATTTTGATTTATTTTTAAATTTTATGTGTATGAGTGTTTTGCCTGTATGTATGTAAATGCACCACATGTGTGCCTGGTGCTAAGGATGGGTATTAGCTGCTGTATGGGTGGTGGAAACCAAACCTGGATCTTCTGAAAGATCAATCAGTGCTCTTAACTGCTGAGCCATCTCTCCTGCCCCATAGACTGGTTTTTAAATATACTTAAAACCCCCTAAATATTGAGTTGCAAAGATGGTTCAGCTGTTAAGAGCATGTACTGATCTTCTAGAGGACCTGAGTTCAGTTCCCAGCAACCACATTGGATGGCTCACAGCCACCTGTAACTCCTGCTCCTGGGGGATCCGACACCTCTGACTTCTGATGGCACCTGCACTTACATGCATATACCCCTACCTGCACAGTCACACACATATATACATAATTAAAAATAAATTTTAAGGACTGGAGAGATGGCACAGCCATTAAAGGCTAAGGTTAACAACCAAAAAATGAAAAATTAAAAAAATTTAAAAAAACGTCTTAATAGCAAATGCTAGAAAACATTGACACTTACTCAACCTGTCTCAAAGAGGCAGATGTCCATCCATCCTCATCCTTCATACAGTCACACACATATGTATATGTGCATACACACAATGGCTCATGGATCCTCTTGGGGTGACCTTATCTTGGCTATTCTTCCTATTATTCTAGGTGATGATGACCAAACGGACTAAAGACATGGGCAAGTTCAGCTCTGTTACTGTGTCTACCATTGATGAAGAAGAAGAAGAGATCGAGGCTGTAAGTGCTTCTGCTCTCAAGGGAGTTGGAACTGGGTAGGAGGTAGAAAGGGTACTCTAATCAAAGCCTCCGCAGAGCAGAACAGTTGGGTAACTTTGCTTTCACACTTTGTTCTGCTCGGAAGAATCTATATGATAATGGGCTAGTGCCTGTTTTCCTGGATGTCAAGGACATCTATAAAATGAAAACAGGGCTTTGTTGGAACTTTCTCATTACCTTTTTAATTTAAAAAGCACTGAACTGGAACTGGTCCCAGTAGTGCAGGCCTGTAATCGCAGTACTGTGGAAGCTGAGGCAGGATGATCTCAAGTCAAGGACTTATTGCCTGAGCTACATAGCAAGACCCTGTCTTCAAAAGAAACAAAAATAAGGTACTGGACTGAATAATTTTTCAGTCCCTTCTGATAGTTTATATCCTTAGCAGGAGCAACAGTTACTTTTCTGATATTTCAGTAGAGTGATTTTTTTTTTTTTGGTCTTTTTGAGACAGTGCCTCCCTATAGCCCCAGCTGGCCTGGAACTCAACAGAGATCCTCCTGCCTCTGCCTCCTGAGTGCTGGGGTTAAAGGTGTGTGCCACCATGTCCAGCTCAGTAGAGTGATTTTTACAGAGAGGTGTTCTTAAAGGATCACCCTTGAAACTTAAACTCTCCTGGATTATTGAGATGAAGAGTTGAAAGTATCCAGACAGTGCCTCCCTATAGCCCCAGCTGGCCTGGAACTCAACAGAGATCCTCCTGCCTCTGCCTCCTGAGTGCTGGGGTTAAAGGTGTGTGCCCCCATGTCCAGCTCAGTAGAGTGATTGTTACAGAGAGGTGTTCTTAAAGGATCACCCTTGAAACTTAAACCCTCCTGGATTATTGAGATGAAGAGTTGAAAGTATCCAGAGGCAAAAAAAAAAAAAAGAAAGAAAGACAATGTATCCAGAGGCTTGTATTTCAGTTGCAGTCTGCTAACTCATAGTATAAACGGCTACTGCAGTCTTTACTGTCGTTCTGGTGAGAGTGCTGGTCTAAGGATGCTTCATTTTTCTCTGCAGAGGGAAGTTGCTGACTCCTATGCACAGAACGCCAAAGTGATTGAAAAACAGCTAGAGCGCAAGGGCATGAGCAAGAGACGACTCCAAGAGCTGGTGAGTGGCATGGGAGGAAGGGCACAGGGCCTGGTGGTTTGGATTTCTTGCTCTGAATTGTGCAGACGCAGGGGATTATTTAAGAAGGGGTTAGGAGTTACCAGTATAGTTGGCTGCCAGCTTTCTTACCCCAGGCTGTAACTGTTGGTATACCCTGTTCTGCAGTAGTGACTGCAGGATCTAGGCCCTGAATTATAATACTTGTTAGATAGGCCTAACTAGAATGATGTTTCAGTATGCTACCTGTGGTCCAAGGGTAGGCGTTAATAAAGGGCAGGGTTTTTTAATACTCTCCAAAGGTATAATAGTATATAATCATAGTATACCTGGATTGGGGCTAGTCATTGCTTTTAAAGCACTGATAGTTTTCTGCCTTATTCATGGGTTCAACTTAGAGCACAGCACCGCTATGTAGGTTGGTGCTTGTATTTTTAAATTTTTTATTATTGAACTTGTTCTTTAACAATTTCATACATGTATATTATGCATTCTGATTGCTTTCACCCCACCTTATCTCCTTCCCACCCCTGTATACCCCAACTTTTCCCTACTAATCTTTTAATTTTGCTTTTTGGTTAATAATTTACTTGTGATATTTCATTAACCTCAGACATTACTGCGTTGACGCCAGATCAAAAATTGTCATTTTTATAAATGTGTGTCATACTGTGTTTTTTTTCTTATCCTTCCCCACTGCCCTTCCCATTCCTGTTGCCCCTCTCTGACTGGGCTCCTTCCTTCTCCCACATGTCCCTTCTTCTGCTTCTTTCTTTTTCTCTTTCTTTCTCTTTCTTTCTTTCTTTCTTTCTTTCTTTCTTTCTTTCTTTCTTTCTTTCCTTCTTTCCTTTCTCCCTCCCTCCCTCCCTTCATTCCCTTCTTCCCTTCTCCTTTCCTTCCCTTCCCTTCCCTTCCCTTCCCTTCCTCAGTCCCTCCTTCCTTCCTTCATTCCTGCCCTCCCTACTTGTCTCTCCCTTTCTTCTTCCTTCCCTCCTTTTACTCTTCCTCCCTCCCTTCCTCCCTCTCCTTCCTTCCTTCCTTCCTTCCTTCCTTCCTTCCTCCATCCCTCCCTCCCCACCCCCTTCCCTCCCTTGCTTCCTTCTTTCCCTCAGTCCTTCCTTTCCTCCTTCCCTCCTTCCTTCACACCCTCCCTTCCTTCCTTCCTTCCTTCCTTCCTTCCTTCCTTCCGTCCTGTAGAGCCCAAACTAACCTTAAACTTGCTATGAAGTGGAAACTGGTCTTGAACTCCTGATTTTCCTGCCCCTCTGCCCCTACCTCCCGAGTGCTAGATTATAGACCCACACTATCACACCCCACTTCCCCTTCTGCTCTCTTATCCTTAAATAATTTTTTAAAATTTATTTTTATTTTATGTGTATGAGTTTTGCCTGCATGTATATAGGTGCACCACATGTGTGCAGTGCTCACAGAGACAAGATGATGATATCAGATCCCATAGAACTAGACTTATGGACAGTTGTTAGCTGCTGTAAGAGTGCTAGGAACTTAACCCAGTTCCTCTGGAAGAGCAGTCAGTGCTTTTAACCCACTGAGGCATCTCTCTTGCCCCAATCCTTTATCCTTTCTGCAAGATCTTTCCTCCCTTTTCATGATCTACTGTCTAGATTCATGACCCCCCCCCACATACTTAAATATAGATTTCATATGTAAAAGGGAACATGTGTATGTCAGTATCTTGTAATAACTGTAGTTAAGTTTTGGTGTTAGAGATGCTGGGGCCTGGTTGCTGCTTTACCGTGCCATAGTGATCTAGAACAGTGCTTCTCAAACTTTCTAAGATGAAAAACCAATGCTTTCTTTTTAAGTCTTAATTTTGTAACTTGTAAAATACAATAAAAGTGAATTGGTCTCAATTTGTATTACTAGATTATTTTCTTTTATTTCTACTCTGACAGATTGCTATAAAAGTTTCTAAATATAAAAAGTGACGGGGAGATATGGGAGGAGTTGGAGGGGAGGGAGTGGGCATGGATTTGATCCAAACACCTTATATGCATGTATGAAATTCTCAATAAATTTTTTTTAAGTTTTAAATATTTTGCATGCACATTGCTTGGACTTATTACCAACCATTTATGATCCTCTTCTGCCAAGAATAGCATACCTGTATGTTATGGTACAGATTCTGTCAGCCATCAGCAGGTCTTGGGGATCTAGGAATCCCTGTGTCCATTACCTTGGCCACGGCCTTGATATTCACCTACCACTGTATTGTTTATGAATAGCATTTTATCTTTGTTACAATCAAAAAGGTTCACAAGCAGTTGTTTGAGCTGGATAAGGATTCTAGAACCACTTCTAGTTTGTATACAGAACATTAAGGGAGAGTGTGTGGACAGCTAAAATAAAAAAGGAATGTTAAGAATTTCATGTGATGTATTAGGGCATACTTTTTTTTTTTCTTTTCAGGCTGAACTGGAAGCCAAGAAAGCAAAAATGAAGGGGACCCTAATTGACAACCAGTTCAAATAACCAAGGCCAGCATTTAGTTCAGGAAGCAAAATAGCTTCTTGATGTCATGGACTAATTTATGTTTATGTCCTAGGAGAAAGCTTCACGACCTCCCTGCTGAATTTCCTTCATTTAGTGAGCTATTGCTTTTTTTTTTCTTTCTTTGAAGTCTTTGTTTCTATTTCAAATGTTTTCTAGGATTTAAAAAAATCTTATATAAGTATTCTATACTATGAATTTTTGAGACAGGTTCTTATTATATAGCCAAGGATAGCCCTGAACTTGTGATCCTCCTGCCTTAGCCTCTTGAGTGACATAATTATAGGAAAGTACCAATATGTCCAGCTTCTGTATAAGTTTTTTTCCATTCAAAGCACATTCCTTCAGCTATGTATTTATAAGTGTATCAGTGCTTAAGTGTCTCAAAGAAAAAAAACTATGGTGTAGGAGGAAAATGACATAATTATATTTAAAGCTACAAGTTGAATCATCTTAAGAAACTCTTCCAACACTCAGGAGGCAGAGGCATTCTGATATCTGTGAATTCCAGGCCAGCTGGGGCTTTGGGGAGACCCTGTCTAAAAAGTGCCAAAAAAAAGGAAAGAAAGAAAGAAAGAAACTCTGTCTCTGATCTTAGAATTGGCTACGGTTTGAATCTTCCTACTGTCAGTAGAAATCAGTTAAAAGCCAAAATTTGTATACATCTTTCTTTACTTAAAATATTTGATTTATAGGTGAGTCTTGCAATGTCAGACTTTGTACTTAAAGAAGGGAAAGCGATGTGGCTGTTGGGGGTGTAGCTCAGTGATGAGGTACATGTTAGGCATGTGTGAGGCATCCTCAACACCAAAAAACAAAAAAGGGAAGCCAGATTATAGGTGCAGGGGTAGGATAACTTGGGTATGAATTAAAATATAAAATATAATTCTGCTAAGTAACCCAACCTTGAGTCAGCTAATAGTGCTACTCTGAGTAACATTACAGATACTGAGCTAAAATTATCTGTTGGATGTCTTCTTTTACATTTGCTATTTGCCAGGGAGTATTTTAAGTATTTATATCAATCTGCTTCAGTGGTATCAATAGCCATGTGATTGTTACCATATTTCTAATCTGTTCACCTGTATTTCAAAGTGTGGGAGACACAAAGTGTATTACCTGCCTCATATTATCTATAATGGATTGCACTTTTTAAATATCCAAGGCTTGTTTGGGAATTGCTGCCAGGAAATAGTTTTCTTTGCTTTTTGCTCATTTCCTTTTTTTGCGGAAATGTAGGGGTAGAAGTGAGCTAGCAAGAACTGGGCCAAAGAGGATTGGGGATCCTGGGGAAGCCCAGAGTTGGGGTTATGTTACCATCTCCCATCTTCCTTCCCACCTCATTTCCTGTCCCAGTTGTGAGACAGAATTAACAACCATGTAAGTGACCAACCGTGATCACCTCCCAGTTTCTCAACCTCACACTCACACAATAAGCTCTACTTTACTCCATTTTATCCCCAGTGCCCATGTGCACAGGTTGAATAGACTTCCACCAGTTATGAAACTCAGGGTTCTGTTGTCTGACTGCAGCGTCCAACTGCTGCTAGTCTTCTATGCTCACTTCTTTGTAGACCTTTTAAGGTTTGTTTCTAGATTTGAGGAGTGATTATTTATTAGTAATAATGAAAATAGTAGTAATAGCAACAATAATACTACTATCCATTGAGGAATTGGTGTGCATCAGATGCTGTGGAAAGCACTTTAGAGGTATTATCTCACTCTTACAGTATGTCCTATGAGATAGGTTTAACTGTTGCCATCCCCATTTCACAAATGAGTACCCTGAAGCTCAAAGTTTCCCAAGATCCTCTAGGCAGTAATTGACAAAACCCCAAATCTGACTTTAAAACCTGAGCTCTGTACTATGCTGAACTACTTCTCCTGTGGAATCTTTAAAATATATATTAATAAGAGACATATTGAACTTTTGGAAAATTGTACTCTTTTTTGTGTAAATTATCAACTGTGACAAAAATATGAAAATGTTGTGAAATATTCCCACTCTAATCATTGGTGACATTTGGAAATGTAATTTTATTGTTCAAGAGAAGTTGAAAAGCTTTGTAGAGGCTAACCTGTCTTGTTGGGTGTGCTGGCATGTGCTTATAGTTTCAGCAGCTGAAAGGATCGCTTGAGCCCAGGAGTCCAAGACCAATCTGGGCAGCATAGCAAACAAGACTCCATCTTAAAATATAAAAAATAAAATTATAGACTAAAATAAGCTAAACTGTCTTCTCTTAACCATCTCAAGATCCTTATCACCATGGACCATGTCTCCTTAATCTCCTTTGATTTTATGGCAGATTGTCAATGGTGTCTAATGATTTTAATTTTTAATTTTCTTAATAGTAGATAACGTTGAGCATACTATTTTTGAAAAGATTTGTTTATTTTTATTTTATGTGTGTGACTGTTTTCTCCACGTGTATGTATCTGCATCACACGCATGTACGTATTCACAGAGGCCACAACAGGGCGTCAGATCCCCTGGAGCTGGAGTTAGAGGTGTTAATTAGCCATCATGTGGGTGCTGGGAATTGAACCTGGGTCCTCTGCAAGAGCAGCAAGTTCTCTTAACTGCTGAGCCATCTCTCTAGCCCCAAACATATTTTTATTAGAGTGAAAAACAATATAAATTTTATCATCTTAACCATGTTTTTTATTAATTTTATTTATTTATTATGTATATGAGTGTTTGCCTATTGTATATTAAATGCACCTGTGTAATGTAGTGTCCAAGGTGACCAGATTCCCTGGAATTGGAGTTAAGGGTGGTCAATAGCCTCCACGTGGGTGCTGGGAACTGAACCCTGGTCCTCTGGAAGAGCAGCCAGTGCTTTTACCCACTGAGCCATCTCTTCAGCCCCCCAGGCTTGATTTAAACTCCATATACAGCTGAGACTGACTGTGATGGCTAATCCTGGGTGTCAACTTGACTGGGATTAACTGAAATGAGAGAGATATTCTTGATTGGATCATCTGAAGCTGGAAGACACACCCTAAACGAGGGTGTTACCTTCTGATGGCAGCCTGTATAAAAGGCCATGGCAGAGGAGAATGCCTGGCTTCTTGCTGCTTGCCTTCTCTCTCACTGGTGAGTTCGTCTTGCTGCTGTAGACTGAAGACTAGCTTATCTTTTGGAATTCCTCAGACCTTCAGTGCCAGATTGGGACTACTGAGACATCCAACCTCGTGGACCGAGTGACTATGGATTCTCAGCCTCTCCAGTGTGGTGCAGCCATTGTTGGACTACTCAGACTCTATCCTGTGAGCTAAGCTGATAAATCTCTATACATATATATTCATCCTACCAGTTCTGTTTCTTTGGAGAACCCTGGCTAATACACTGACCTTGAATTCCGATCCTCCTGTTTCCACCTACAGAGTACTGGGATTACAGGCATGCACCACTATGCTTGGTGGTTTTTATTTTTTTTAATATTTTATTTATTATTTTTATTTCATTTGTATGCATATATTGCCTGCATGTAAGTACACTCGAGTCATGCAGTATCCACGGAGGTCAGAAGATGGCGATGGATCCCCTGGAACTGGAGTTATAGACCATTGTTAGCCAGCATGTGGGTGCTGGGAACTGAACCCAGTTCCTCTGCAAGAGCAGCCAGTGCTCTTAACCACTGAGCCATCTCTCCAGCCCCCTATTTTTATTTTTTTTTTAACAAGAAAGTATTTTTTTCTCCTACCAGAGATTGAATCTAGGTCCTCATTTATGCTGGCCAGTGCTTTACTACTGAGCTATCTCCCCCAGCAGTGACATTGAATACTTGATCCTCCTTGCTTCCACCTTCCAAGTGCTGGGATTACAGATGTGTGCCACCATGCCTGGCTCCATTAACCATTTTTAATTATATAATTCAGTAATGTTAATTCTCATTATTGTGATACAGGTCTCTAGAACTTCTCTAGCTTATAAATCTGAAATATGCACACATCGAGCAACTCCTCTTTTGCTCTCTTCCTCTAACTCCTGCTCACCACCATTCTACTTCATTATTTTTATTTTTAGTCTATGTGTATGAGTGTATTGCCTGTATGTATATAAGTACACCCATGTTATGCAGTGTTCATGGAGGTTAGAAGAAGGTGTTGGATCCCCTGGAACTGGAGTTACAGATGGTTGTTAGCCACCATGTGGGAGCTGAGAATTGAACCTGGCTCCTCTGCAAGAGCAGCCTGTGCTCTTAACCACTGAGTTAGTGTTCAGCCTCCATCTTTTAAAACAAATTTAATTTTTATTTTATGTGTATGAGTATATTGCCTGCATGTATGTAAGTACCCATTTCATGCAGTGCCCAAGGAGGTCAGAGGAAGATGTCAAATCCCCTGAACTGGAGTTATGGATGATTGTTAGCTGCCATGTGGGTGCTGGGAATTGAACCTGGGTCCTCTGCACAAGCAACTAGTGATCTTGACCACTGAACCGTCTCTCCAGCTCTACTTTCTGTTTTTATCAATTTGACTACATAGATACTTAATCTAAGTGGAATCCTACAGTATTTTTCTATTTGTGACTGGCTTACATAGTACATGTTCTCAATGTTTATCCATGTTATAGCATGTGACAGATTTCCTCTTGTACATAATATAGCACATTTATTTAGCCACTCATCATCAGTGGACATTTGGACTCCTTCAACTCCTCAGCTATTATGGATAATGTTGCAGTGTAGGTATCTTTTGGACATCCTACTTTCAGTTATGGACCTTGGATAAGTATTCAGAAGTAAGAACAAGTTTTTGGGGAGAGGGGGGATGGGACTATTGGGCCTTCTACATGCTACACACTCTATCATTGAGCTATATTCCCAGCCCTTAAAAACATTTGTTTTAAGACAGGGTCTCCCTGTAGCCTTAGTTGCCCTGAAACTCATTATGTAAATCAGGTTGGCCTCTATCTCACAGAGATTCACCAGCCTCTGCATCCCAAGTGCTGGGATTAAAGGCTTGCACCACCATGACTGGCCCTTTAAAATTATTAAAAGAATGTTTGAGACAGGGTCTTGTTAAATTACCCAGGCTGGCCTTGAACTTTCTGTCTTCCTGCTTTTGCCTCCCAAGGAGCTGGGACTACAGAGTTGTGCCACCAGGTCTGGCTAGTTTTAATTTTTTGATTCCATCCTGTTCTCCTTAGCTGCTGTACCATTTTACAGTCTTACCCAACAGCATACAAGGGCTCAAATTTCTCTAAATGCTTGTCAATGTTTGTTGAAATTTCATTCTATTTTTTATTGCATTTCTTTGATGATTGGTGGTATTGAATATCTTTTTGATATGCTTATTGGCCTTTCATATATCATCTTTAGAGAAATATCTATGCAAGACCTTTGTCAATTTTAATTGGTTTATTTTCTTGCTAATGAACATATTTCTATGTTAATTTTTCATCTGTGTATCTTTGGTAAAGTGTGTATTCAGCTCTTCTACCGAGTCCTGGAAGAGCAGCAAGCACACTTCAATGCTGAGCCATCTCTTCAGCCCCTGTAGTACCTTTCTTGACTCAGTCATGAATATCTTCTATACTTTCTTCTAGTTTTATTGTTGACATTTAGGTCTGTGATCTGTTTTGAGTTAGTTTTTCTATAATGCTGGACTGGTGTGTCAGTTTATAATATATATGTTTTGACACCATTTTTTGACAAGATCATTTTCCTTTTCACTTGCTTTTATACCTTTGTCAAAAATCAGTTCACTGCTGGATGTGGTGGTGCATGCCTTTAATCTCAGCACTCTGGGAGGCAGACAGATCTCTGATTTCCAGGTCAGCCTGGTCTACATAGTGAGTTCCAGGCCAGCCAAGGCTATATTCATAGTGAGTCCCTCCCTCAAAAAAATCAGTTCACAGCCTGTGGAGCCTCAACATCTGTTTTGCCCACTTCTCTTAGTCCTAGCCCAGAAAAGCATAACTGTTCTTTTTTTCCTTCTTTCAGATACTTGCCAAAGCTTGGGCATGTTTTCCTGATGCTCTGGGCTTTCTCACTCTTCCTCTGAAGCAAACCTCCCTCCACTTTTGCCGTGAACTGGTTATCTCACCTCTACGGTTAACCTCCAAGTCTAACTCAAAAGGCATGACTTGCTGGGTGTGGTGGTGAACGCCTTTAATTCCTGCACAGGCAGGTGCGTCTCTGTGAGACCGGGCTGGTCTACATAGCAAGTTCCAGGCCAGTTGGAGCTATAGGGAAGCCCTGTCTCATAAAAACAAAGCAAAACAAAACAAAAAATCAGTTCACTATACTTCTGGATTTTCTGGTCTGTCCATTGTCTATCAGTCAATACACAGTGGTTTTTTTTTCATTTTTCATCATGGTGGGGCTCAAGCCCAATGTTTTTTATTGTTACACATGCACTCTACCAGTGAGCTCCACCCACCCTCAAATCTGTTTGCATTCTTTTAAATAGATTCTGGCTATGGTGCCCAGATTGGCCTTAAACTTCTGGACTCAAGTGTTCCTCCTGCCTCAGCTTTCCAAGTAGTTGTGACTACAAGCACATGTCACTCTGCCTGGCTCTTACATAGTGTCTTGATTTGACTACTGTAGCTTTATAATTCAACACTGGGTAGTGACTCTTCCGGCATTGTTCTGTTTTGGTATTATTTTTGACTCTTCTGAATTTTTGTCTTTTCATGTATTTTAAAATAAGCTTGTTGGTATGTTCAGCATCCTGTTTTTAAAATTGTATTTAATTTTTTTATTATATGTGGTATATGTATGAGTATTTTGCCTACATGAATATAAGTGCACCGTATGCATGCAGTGCCCATGGAGGGCAGAAGAGGGTGTTAGATCCCCTGAAACTGAAGTTATGAACTATTGTTAGCTGCCATATAGGTGCTGGGAACTGAACCTAGGTCCTCTGCAAGAGCAGCAAGTGCTCTTAACTACTGAGCCATCTTTCCAGCCCCATGTTCAGTATTCTTTCTGGGATTTGGGAATTGTGTAAAATCTGAAGGTCACATTGAGGAGAGTTGACATCTTAATATTGAATCTTCTAGTTGAACATATTTATCTCTCATTTGTTTAGATCTTTAAATTTTTTCATTGATCTTTTGTCATTTTTCATGTACAAATCATGTAGATAATTGGTTTTAATATGTAGTCTTTTTTTCTGGTGCTGTTGTTGATAGGTAGAGATGTTGGAGAGAGTGCGGTGGAGAGCACGAGCAGATGGAGGAGGCACCGAGGCACAGATGGAATTCTCAGC